ATATGTGCAAAGACTTTGCTTGATTTTCAGTGTCCCTGATTGAGCTCATTTTTTGGGCATTCCCTGACACACACCACAGCTGGAGTCACTCTGGGATGCCCCACAACCCCCATGACCCTCAATTTCACAGCACATATCCACAAAAATATCGGAGTATTTGAGTTCATTTCTGAGGCTTTGCCTCATCTAAATATGTGCAAACTCTTTGCTTGATTTTCAACATCTCTGATTGAGCTTGGTTTTTTGTGGGCATTCCCTGACACACAGCACAGCTACACTGGGATGCCCCACAACCCCGGAACCCCCAATTTCACAGCACATGTCCACAAAAATATCGGAGTATTTGAGTTCATTTCTGAGGCTTTGCCTCATCTAAATATGTGCAAACACTTTGCTTGATTTTCAGTGTCTCTGAGCTCGTTTTTTGGGCATTCCCTGACACACAGCACAGCTGGAGTCACACTGGGATGCCCCACAACCCCACAACCCCCATGCCCCAATTTCACAGCACAAATCCACAAAAATATCTGAGTATTTGAGTTCATTTCTGAGGCTTAACTACTGCTGGCTTTGAAATAACAAAACCAAACCGGAGTGCCTTGTAAATAACACATTACAATTTTACACATTTCATTTTGCTTTTATTCCTACTGAACACTCTTTTCCAGAGGAACAGCAGTTCCTATCCAGGAGAGGGTGAACTGTAGAGAGGAGAACGAAAGCACAGGCTGGGACTGCTCAAATATTAGACTACAGCTGCTATTTTTGCCATTCTCAGTGTGATATTCAACAGTCTAAAAAACTCGATAAATTTTATAAACACCTATACAAGCTTCAATTGCAAAAAAGCTGAACAAGCTTCACCACTTTGCTTTTTTGCTTGTTTACTGTTGAGAGAGATGCTWCTGTTTGGGTTTTACACACACAAACGTCTCCTTTCTAAGGAGAAAGCCTTTCTCTGCCTTTCTAAGTCTCTTTAGGTTGTTGCCATTCCACTTTTGAGCGCCTGAAAATATTTTYATAGCATTAAAAAGATGATCATAGTCTTATTTTTTATAGTGTAACAGCACACAAGCTGCTTCTGACTTCAGAAGCACTCATGATGATCARACCTATTTAAAAATGCCTGAGATCTTCAGTTCCTTTGGGACCCTATATCAAATGGAACTGGACAGATTCACATTTCTTCAGCAAAAGATGAATCCCCCATTCCTCTGGCTTTTAATTTTTGGGTCTGTCTCCTTCAAGAGCACACAAAACATATTCAAGGAGCTTTGTTTTGCTTTCAGAATAATGGATTTGGATACAACACTTCTCAGGCAATAAGGAAGCAAGGTAGGGACTGCCCTTGTGCTGTCTTGGATAAGAAACTGAGCTGACAGACAGTGAACAGCAAGGCATCAGAGTTTGATGGAGCTCCTCAGCTGAGTGAC